ATTTCTTTAAATATATATATATATATATATATATATATATATATATATATATATATATATATATATAGATGTCTTCTATTATTATTGAAATACTGAAAATCTGCCGACTACAAAATGCATGTTTTAAACCAGGTTCAATGGATACACGGCCTTAAAGAAGAGCAGTCGATACAAATATGAAGGCTTCGCATACAAGATAGAATTGTCCTTAAATTCGGACTATGCTCTTTATTTATCCAATTGCCGAATTATTAAGCGAATACGCAATTCATATTATGGATTACAGTTCTGAATACTGTCCGGTTCGGTATCGGTGCCTATAGAATGCACCCGATCATCTGAGGACTTCGAACAAAACGCCAAATATTCTGTCATACTTCCTTTCTTTAATGTTACTTATGAACATTTATCTAATGCGAGATCCATACGAATGTCATTGCTAAAACATTTTACAGTATTGGTTAGACTCTTAAACTTTTTGTCGTCTTTGGCAATGAGATCATCTATGTAGAATAGTTGATAAAACACTTTCTTCATTTACTTTATATTCATAGTTATTTCTGTTTAGCACATTGGAAAGGGGAATTAAGTATAGATAGATAGGGTAACAGGATGACTTTCTTTGAAAGATTCATCGTCAGATATTCAAATATTAGGATCTACCATAACCGAGGAAAATTTGTACATTTCCGAAGCTTTAAGTATCCAAGTGTGTTAAACACTATCAAAACATTTATGGTAATCTATCCAAGCTCTGCAGACATTTCTACTTTTCTTCGTACGATTTTCCAGGATAATTTTATTTGTTAGTAATTGATCTTTGAAACTATAGGAAACTCCCCGATATCCTTTCTGTTCCAGGGAGAATGGTTTCTTCTAGAAAAGAGTACATACAGTTCGTTAGAACAGACGTGATCAATTTATATGTGGCAGGCAGACGTTATTGGTCTATAATTGGGTGCATCTGTTTCCTACGTTTGTGGCAGGAAATATATCATACATTCAGTGATCGATTCTGGGGCTTTATTGGTGGGTTACTAATAAGCATTGATAAATTATGTTCAAAGGTTTATGGATTGTTGAGATGATAGATCCAAAAATAGGGTAATCTCTCATTTCCTGGAGATTTTCCTTTTTTTATAATTTTGTTAAAACTTGCTAACATTATTCAACGTTATTTTTTTCCATTCTTCCATGGGTTTCTCATTATTATTATTATTATTATTATTATTATTATTATTATTATTATTATTATTATTAATAATACTACTACTACTATTAATATTGATAATACTTTTATTGTTATTATTATCATTATTTTATTTTTACCATTATTATTACCATTATTATTATTATTACTATTATTATCATTATTACTAATATTATTACAATTATTATTATTAATAATAATACTGCTACTATTACTACTAACATTAATATTACTATTACTATTATTATTATCATTGGTTTTTTACTAATATTATTACTATCATTATTACTATCATTATTATTACAATTATTATTACAATTATTTTATTATTATTATTATTATTATTATTAATACTACTATTGCTACTAATATTAATATTGCTATTATTATTATTATTATTATTATCTTTTTATTTTTACTATTATTATTACTATCATTATTATTACAATTATTATCATTATTTTACTATTATTATTACAATTATTATTATTATTAATAATACTACTACTATTACCACTAATGTTAATATTGCTATTACTATTTTATTATTATCATTATTTTTATAATTACTATTATTATTACTCTCATTATTATTATTACTACTATTATTATCATTATTATTACTATTATTATTATTATTTTATTTATTACTACTACTACTACTATTAATATTGCTATTACTATTATTATTGTTATCATTATTTTTATTTTTACTATTATTATTATCATTTTATTACTATTATTATTGCAGTTATTATTATTATTACTATAACTGCTACAATTAATATGTCTATAACTATTATTATCATTATTTTTATTTTTACTATTATTATTATTATTATCATTATTATTATTACTACTATTATTATCATGATTATTACGATTATTATTATTATTATTATTATTATTATTATTATTATTAATATTATTGTGCCGCTTTTGATTTCCTTTACAGCAGTGTATAATTTGGGTTTGTTTTCCTTCAAATTTTGTTCGGATTACCAATCTAGTGTCTTCAGTTTATTTCACGCTTATAACTCTTTGAATAATTTGCAAGGATAAAATTGTTTGGTCCATAAACATAATGAAATATCATCAATTAATCAAATTATGATACAAGCAAAAATTTGCATTTCCTTCTCTCTGTCTTTTTCTCCCTCTCCCCCTCCTTCTCTCTCTCTCTTTCTCTCTCTACATACATACATATATTTCCGCACAATGTTTTCATTGTGACATGTTTTGTTTACAGTTTATACATATTATTATAATCAATAATTTATACTATAATATTAATTTTATTATAAATAATACCCTGATGATGCCATGGATATGTCGAAAGTACTTGGTAATAAACAACATATGTGTAAACAAGGCAATTTTCTCTCGTCTTCCAGTAATGACATCAAAATTTATCCGAGAGTATGAAAAGATCATAAGGAAAATGAGTAGACAGAATAGGTCTCAAATGTACAACGAAACATGTCTTAATATATATATATATATATATATATATATATATATATATATATATATATAATATAAATGTTGTATGTATGTATGTGTGTGCGTGTGCGTATGTGTGTGTGTGTGTACAGGATGTCACATTAAAAAAAGTCAATGCAGTGCTTGTTGATAATACATAATGCTTCAAATGAAAATATTCCTTGACATTATTCATATTTATTGACAATTTGTGTTTATTAACATGCAAGAAAGCTAACGGTTTAAATTAAATATTAAATTAAATACGTTTCTAAATATTGAAGACTGAGTCAAATAGTGAATACATTTCTTCGGACATCATGTATATATTTGATAAAATTTAGTTTCAATGTACACTTTATTTATCAGCTAATAGCGGTCAATATTCGCAATAGACCGTGTGCAAATCTAAGAAGAATGGCCACTGATGTGTATATCGAGCGGTGATGGTATATTTTATGATTGACCAAACATATAATCAAGTTGTTATCAATCTTTTTAATGAGAATTGAATTAATAAACTGAACTTTGCACAATATATTGATCAGGAAAATTAAATTCATTAAAAAATCTGTGACAGAATCCTTTGCATAATACAAATTTATTATGAAAACAACTTGTTACATAATAAAATCGAAGATACATGTTATGTATGCATACATATATATATATATATATATATATATATATATATATATATATATATATATATATATATATATATATACAAACATATACGTGCGTACGAAAGTTAACATCTCTAAGATGGTGGAATTTTCCCAAGTGGATTCATCAAAACTCTGTATTTAAAGAATTTCTCTTCCTGTAAAGCCGAGTGATGTCTAGTGACGTCAGAGAGAAACTAAATATATATTTTTTATCTAGAATGTAGACTACAGCACTGATTCAAAGATAGATAACTGCATACATACGAAGGTGTAAATATTTTCATTTTCTTTCTTGTTTACAATAATGTTTACTCTGTACTAGGCCCAAGAGCTACACAAGCTAGAGGTTTACATATTAGTAGGCGGAGATTCTGGGGATATGTGGGGAAGATGATGCTAACCTCAGGTTTTAACAGCAGTGATCGACGAAGCAGCGGTTCCTGATTGAGTTGAACTTGCATTTCACTAATGAAATACGATTTGAATGATTGTAGTTCACGACAGGGAATTTATAGCAATGCTAAAGGGATACGGTATGGTGATATAACCAACTACAATATCTGAGTTACATACGAACAGACTTAGATAGATAGATAGATAGATAGATAGATAGATAGATAGATAGATAGATAGATAGATAGATAGATAGATCACGTTGTACAGAATCAAATAGATATATAAATAGATACATGGATAGATGCATAGATAGATCACGATATACAGAATCAGATAGATAGATAGATAGATCACTATGTACATGATAAGATAGATAGATAGATAGATAGATCACTATGTACATGATAAGATAGATAGATAGATAGATAGATAGATAGATCACTATGTACATGATCAGATAGATAGATGGATAGATGCCGAGATAGATCAAGATATAGAATAAGATAGATAGATAGATAGATAGATAGATAGATCACTATGTACATGATAAGATAAATAGATAGATAGATAGATAGATAGATAGATCAGATAGATCACTATGTACATGATAAGATAGATCAAGATATAGAATAAGATAGATAGATCACTATGTACATGATGAGATAGATAGATGGATAGATGCCTAGATAGATCAAGATATAGAATAAGATAGATAGATGGATAGATTCCTAGATAGATCAAGATATAGAATAAGATAGATAGATAGATAGATAGATAGATAGATAGATAGATAGATAGATCAACATGTACATAAGATAGATAGATAGATCAACATGTACATAAGATAGATAGATAGATCACTATGTACATAATAAGATAGATAGATAGATAGATAGATAGATCACTATGTACATGATAAGATAGATAGATGGATAGATGCCTAGATAGATCAAGATATAGAATAAGATAAGATAGATGGATAGATAGATAGATAGATCAAGATATAGAATAAGATAGATAGATAGATAGATAGATAGATAGATAGATGATCAGATTGATGGATGGAAGATAGATAGATAGATCAAGATATAGAATAAGATAGATAGATAGATCACTATGTACATGATAAGATAGATAGATAGATAGATAGATAGATAGATCACGATGTACAGAATCAAATAGATATATAAATAGATACATGGATAGATGCATAGATAGATGGATAACATGCACTATGTATATGATCAAGATATATAGAATAAGATAGATAGATAGATCAGGATATAGAATAAGATAGATAGATAGATAGATAGATAGATAGATAGATCACTATATACATGATCAGATAGATAGATGGATAGATGCCTAGATAGATCAGGATATAGAATAAGATAGATAGATAGATAGATCACTATGTACATGATCAGATAGATAGATAGATAGATGCCTCAGTATATGATAAGATAGATAGATAGATAGATAGATAGATAGATCACTATGTACATGATCAGATAGATAGATGGAAAGATGCCTAGATAGATCAAGATATAGAATAAGATAGATAGATAGATCACTATGTACATGATAGATAGATAGATAGATAGATAATCACTATGTACATGATAGATAGATAGATAGATAGATAGATAGATAGATAACTATGTACATGATAGGATAAATAGATTGAAAGATAGATAGATAGATAGATAGATAGATAGATCACTATGTATATTTTAAGATAGATAGATAGATAGATACATAGATAGATAGATAGATCACTATGTGCATGATCAAATAGATATATGGATAGATGCATGCATAGATAGATAGATATAGAATAAGATAGATAGATAGAATCAAATATGTATATGAATAGATACATGCATAGATAGATAGATAGATAGATAGATCACTATGTACATGATAGATAGATAGATAGATAGATAGATAGATCACTATGTACATGATCAGATAGATAGATGGAATGTTAGTTAGATCAAGATATAGAATAAGATAGATAGATAGATAGATAGATCAAGATATAGAATAAGATAGATAGATAGATAGATAGATAGATCACCATGTACATGATATAGATAGATAGATCACCATGTACATGATAAGATAGATAGATAGATCACTATGTACATGATCAGATAGATAGATGGGTAAATGCCTAAATAGATCACGATATAGAATAAGATAGATAGATAGATAGATAGATAGATAACTATGTATATGATCAGATAGATAGATAGATTGATAGATAGATATGTACATGATCAGATAGATAGATAGATTGATAGATAGATATGTACATGATCAGATAGATAGATAGATAGATAGATAGATAGATAGATGATCAGATAGATAGATATCGGCCAGTTAATACATTTTGGAAGATCCTGTAGAGCCATATATGTGTTTAAACAAGACGCACACAGTTCACTTCTGCTTTATACTGCAACTATGCTGAACGGATCACGTTAATTTTTTTTTTATATACTCATGACCCTTATAACAAAACAAAATCCATCCTAATTCTAATGAATAGAGCACGTAGCAGTATCAGGTCGGAATTAGGACAACACCAGTCTGGGTTCGTCAAAGACACGAGATGAAGAAATGCGATATTTATGTTCAGAATGTCACCAGAAAGAGCAGTACAAATGCAGAAGTAAGCGGACCTGCGCTTTATAGATGATGCAAAGATGTTCGATGACGTACGCCACAAAGAATTGTTGGAACTTCTTGTTAACATTGACATATTTCGGAAGGATATTAGAATAATCCAGAACATCTACTAGCAGCAAACCGCCTGAATGCGGATAGAAAATGAGTTGAGCAAGTATCAGTCAGTTATGTATCATGTGTGATACACGCTTAGGCGATCATGTATCCTTCGATACATGACTGACGAGTTTATTTCCCGCAGTAGGTTTCCATTTCTTTCTGTGGTAGACCAGTTGCCATCCAAGGCTATAGAACCGGGTCTGTCCTGCTATTTACCCACAGCTGGGTGGAGAAAAACAGGATTCATATCTTTCCGAAGGGTATTATCACGTAAGTGAATGTAATGGATTCAACTGAAATTCGAACTCGGCTCTCTGATTCCCCAATTCGGGCCGCTAGTTATTCCACTGTGCCTACAAAAATAGAAAGAGGTGTAAGACAATGACGTGTCTTCTCACCTTACTTATCCAACCTGTTCATTGAAGAGATTCGTAGAGAATTAGAAATCATACGAGATTTATTATTGACAAATGAACACGGCTGAGAGTAAACACGGAAAGAAAATTTCAAGAACGCCCACAGAAAATAGTGAAGGAATGCCAGAATTAGACAAGAATGGAAAGCTGATAGAATGCATGATAATTAGCAAAAACGATGAACACAAAATGTAAATTACAAATCGGAGCTACCAAAATCAAACAAGTTAAAAAAAAAACCCTGAAAATTGTTTAACAGAGTATAGAAATTGTGACACTGAAATCCGAAGACGCATTGGAAGAGCCAAAGATGCCTTCTAAAAGCTAAGTATTAATAAACAGGTAAACTTCGTTACAAGCAAAGAAAAGACTACTGAACATTTATGTGATATCTGTCCTCTAGTATGACAGTAAATGCAGAACAACCTCCTCAAAGAGACTTGAGTCAACAGAAATGTGGTTATACAGAAGGATGTTGAGGACAGCATGGGCTGATTATCTGAGTAACGTCGAAATTCTAGTGACAGTGAAAACAAAAAGGAAACTATTACTTGAAACTAATAATTGAACTAATTGAAATTCCTAGTACATATAATGAGAAAAGAGGGCTTGGAAAATCTGGCACTCACAGGACAGATTGAGGCCAAGAGAGACAGTAATTAACGCATAACGCATTGATGGATTTGAGTAAATGGATGGCATAACAAAGTTTAAGAGAAATAACAAAAAGATAACATTTATCAAGAGTTACGAAAGACAGGGAAATTGTGGAGAACCATGATCGCCTATGTATTACGGGACACAGCATAGGAAGAAGACTCCTATACATAAGAGTCACTTAAGGTTGGTTTAACAGTGTACGGTAGGAAGCAAGACATGCATATAATGAAGATATATAGTAGATACAATAGTTTGCCCTAATCTTGAAGAGATTAAGATTTAAGGGATCAGGAAAGGATTATCTCGAGTGTCTGTTTCAGAATGCAATCAAGAACGGTTGATGACAGTGAACCATTAATCCGGTACACAAGGAGAGTATTTCACATGCAAGGCTACGGTCAGTCCGCGGTATGATTTTCAGATACTTTCCAAGTATACAGCGCGGTGTGGTCACTTCTCTGGTAAATCGATAACGGTAATATTCGAACCAAGGCCTCATAGTCATGAAGTGAACGATCCAACCACAAAGTCACGTAACCAGATAGATCGATCGAAAGAAAGAAACAGATTGAGATTAGCATTTAAATCTACTGAAATTATTGATTACAGCATAAAAGCATTCTCATAAAGTTACGAGCTTGTCAGTTCATAACAATATTTAATCGAAAACGGTTTTAAATGTAAGTATTTGATATTTGAATTTCTCTTACTGGCTTACCCGCGCATATAATTGAATGATATTATGCGTTCTTTACGAGATATATAGAGATATATCTGTGCGTTTGTAGGGTGAATAATAATATCGGAAATAAAACGAGGTATGAGGAGACATAGAGGAATACCTTATAAACGTGTTTCGACGACGGCTGTTGGTCTCAGCTTTTTCAAGTTGGAATGAAAGACAAAAGTATGTGTAAAGAAAATAGATTGGGGTTTATCGCGTTTCTTATGAAACGCATTTTTCCTTACACTCAATTTTGTTATTTATTCTGACCTGAAGAAGGCCTAACCCAACACGAAACGCATAATTTTTATTGTCTTTTCCCAAATTTTGAATAAGGTGTGGATTATTATAATGGAAATTATGGAAAACTGTCTTTTTTTGCCATTTTTGTTCAAGTAAACAGCTGTTTATCAACAATTTCGAGTACAATATTCAATACCTAATTCGAAAATTGAAAACAAATTACAAAAAATTTTAGCTTCATGTTTATCGAAATTGTTTGGATAAATACTTGCTGTTTAAATATAACTTGTTCACATACAAATGGATACTGACGATATTCAGTCACCCACCCCCACGAGTGTGTTATGTGGCACAAGGCCTTTTTAACGTAGGCATTCCGAGCCCGTGGGCTCGCCCAAAAATATGCCCATTGAACCCGTATAAACGGGTTCAGGGCCGGTTTTACCTCCCCCGAAGGAGACTCCGCCCTTTAGCGTAGCCTCCTTCGGGTTCCTCCCGTCCGTAGGAAGAGAGTACAACCGAACAGTCGCTCAGAAAGTACTAGGTCGACTGACACATAAATGGATACTGACATCAACACTGTGACAGTCTCTTTCATGCTTGAATTCAATCTTCAGGCCTAATGATTACTTTCAAGCATCAAATAGACTGTTTCCATTCTGTATTAACTACAATGTCATATTTTAAGCATGCCACCGCAAGCAAGGCGGGAGTGCCAACAGCACGCAATGGGTTACAGAGAGTGATGAAAATAGTAAAGAGAGGTTTTTGAAGAAAGCATTGAGAGAAGAACGGAGATCAGGATCAAGGCACCAGAAGATGTCGATTGACATTACATTTGAATATTTGAAGATTATGGCTATCAGGGTAGTAAGTAAGAGGAAGGGAATTCCACTATCAGTAAGTACGAGAAAAGAAGCTTCTGGATTTTAAGAAGCGGTTACATTTAACTGTTTCGACAGTGAATAGGTGGGACCCACATGCCAAACTAGTAGCAAGCTTCAATTCATGCAAGTGGGGTACAAGTGAAAATATCTCGTCAGAGAAATTGCCATGAAAATATTTATAGAAGAGAGAGAGGGAAACTACAACAGTCTGTGAGAAAGTGATATAGACGAGATGCCACATCAGTACCTATCATATTGCATATCCGTCTCAGTATTTTGTCGAGGACTTCGAGATGAACAGCAGGGGTATCAGACCATGTATGGCAGCAGTATTCAATGCAAAGGCGAATAGTTGATTTGTACACACATACACACACACACACACATATATATATATATATATATATATGTATGTATCTTATGCAATGTTACATTAGAAAATGCACATATCCACTAAAAAATTGTATATTTTTGTTTCAAAGTCAAAAAAAAGGGAAAACCTTTTTTAGACGTCTCATCAGGTGGGGATTTACGGTGTTACTAAAAAAAATTATTCAGAAATACGGTTATAATATCCCCCACTTCAGCTCTTTGGAGATTTTCATAAAATGTCTTCTAGAATTTACAAAATTCTAACGAAACTAACATAAGATTTACAGGTGCAAGGCATCGGAGATGTGTCTCGTTACGTCACCATTCTTTCTGCATACGAGTAAATCAACTCATTCTGCAACCCTATGCACTCATTTACCAAGTTTTGTTTGTTCATGTACTCTCAGTTTCATTCACCAAATACATTTCCTAATCAATTTTTTCACACATAACCTCCCAATCCTAACTCATGATGTGTGGGGGTGATTCACACCTCCACACGTTGTCTATCGTTTGCTGCTGGTATTGATAATTAGTGCGTGCAACAACGCGTGTACCTGTGGCCCTGCAACACGCGCTGTGTCACGCGTTGACACACGCGCTGATGCACGCGCATACGCATGACCTGCAGAACGCGACACCTGTTCGAGTTGCCCATTGGTTGCACGAAGCCCCTTTACACGTCCAATGAAATGTCGCCGTGTCATACTGATTGCCTACGCACTCCTAAGCTCATTGCTACCGCTTAATTCCGCTTCTACTTCTGTACGTCCCGACCTGCTTACACATTGCCCCATATCCTGGCCAACAATTTCAATCTTACTCAAGTGAAGTTACCTTTTCCGTTGAAACTCTTCCTACTACAGTTTTAAGGCGTTGATTTCTTGCGGTTTATAGCCGTTCCCAATTTATATGTTATTGTCTTGCTAGTTTTTGCATTGCATTCAGCGTAGTAATAAGTAAGCTTGGTTTTTATTACTTAACATTTATTTTTCTACACTTTCTTAAACTTATTCTCAACTTAGTGATTCCTGTAGCTTTTCAGGGTTCTCTTCTGGTATTTGCCCACGCATTCCATTTGACAATTCGTACTTGGCTAAGTCATGCCAACAAAGAAAAGAGGTTGCAAAACCGCTGCTGTCAGGTTCGCCATGCGAATAAGGGATAACGAATCGTCATTAGAACGTTCAGTTCACCTGTCTCAAAATGCCGTTCAGTTCACCTGTCTCAAAATTCACTCAGAGCCATTGAGTCCGAAGATCAATGTAGCCATCTGAACGACTCTACGCGCGAAGTTGAAAATGGTGATCGAAGGACTCACTGGTTAAGGAGAAACGCCTATTCAACTGCTGCTGCGGATGAGGCTAAAACTGCTGATCAAAGGACTCAGAGACTGATGAGAAACGTCTCTTCAAATGCTGCTGTGCGTGAGGCTGGAACTGGCGATCAAAGAATTCGCCGGCTGAGGAGAATGGCCTCCTCAAATGCTGCTATGCCTGATGCTGAGAATTCTAATCATAGGACTCAATGGTGGAAGAGAAACTCCTCTTCAACTGGTGCTGCACGTACTACTGAAACTGAAGAGCAGCGCAGAAATACGAAACAAATCCTACTTCTACTGCTACCGCCCGGTCAATGGAGTCATCTCCTACCCGTCCAAACTGACTGAACGCCAATAGCGCACGGTGGGATGCTCAGCGTGGCATACCAACGATCAGCATTGACCGTTGGTTAAACCAGGCCTTCCATTACAACAACGGTGGGCTGACTTTAAACTTAAACTACTCCAACTGGATGGCAAAAAATCCCAGTAATGAAACACCAAGTCGAAAATGGTTTATAGTTCTCGTTATGTTGATCCAATTAGCCATGGGTACGATGGTAAGGGTTCGCCGAGAATTTTAAATATTTTTATATATAAGTGTTCGCTATATAGTTTGGCCGGTTTCACTTAGTTCCTTTTTAAAATTATTATATATGTTTTGTTAAATTCTCAGCGTCTCCGCTCCTTGGTGCGCATGCGTTTTCGCATCATCATGACCATCACTTCCGTCTGAAGAAGTCCTAAAGGTCGAAACACGTCACACGAAAACTGTTTCCATTTTGTCATCGTATATTTTTTCATAAAATATATATTATTCAATATTTATCAAATTCAATGGCCAAATTTTTCTTTTAAGATTCAGGTATACTGTTGTGGTACGATCCACCTAATTTACATAGTGGAGTACCGACCATATAAATATGGGTTGGTACCGGGAAGACGAGGGAACTATCAAGAGATCCAATCCAGAGACTCTGCCCGACTGCGATTTAGTCAACCCATTCTACAGGAACAGTCTTCCCAAGAATATACCAAAACTAACTGTAAATATTGTGTACCTTTTCCTTGTTTCAATACATTTTGTTTACGTAAATTTTGTGTTGTATTATTATTATTCCATGCTTATCCAAGCTTCAACATATACGTAAATTAGATAAGGAAGTTTTGACATTTATGGGGCCCAAATTTCCTTCGG